CGACCTTTGAACTGTGACAAATGAAGCTTGTGATACCTGGTAACCAACTTTGGACTGTGACAACTGGAGTGCAGTACACTTAGGTCACAACTGACAACGGGTCATAAATGTAAAAAAAAAATGAATCTGATGGAATTTCTTATTTAAGGCTTTCATTCCCTTACCCCTTTCCCGAGCTAAGAAATGACCTTTAAAAAGTTCTGTTTTTCTGTTCGTAACTGGACAAGGTATAAGCAGTAAACCATCCTACCTCACACCGGGACATTCAATCCATATATATGACCACTCAAAACCACAGGTATTATTGGTACATAAGTAGTTTATCAAGTACTAGTAGCGAATTCGATTGATGCGAAGTAACATTCGTCCGTAGTACGGGAACGAATCGCTATCCAGGCCCATGTGTAGGGGCTGTTATCGCCAAAAAACAGTAAAGCAAGACAGTAGAATCGTGTGTGTGTTGGTTTTCAAGTAAGTATTATCTAGCGTGAAACGTCCATCTGTCCCGGATTGATGAGATCGTATTTCCAGATGTTAGGGAGAGTTAGGACAGAATTACACTCAAATGACAATTACCCCATCCAAATCCTGGCACTGTACACGTGTCACCGTAAACACTTGTCATATAGAAAACTGCCATGAAAACAATGATTGGTGTGTTACAGTGATCCGCTTGTGTTTCTTTGATAAAAAGAAAAGATACAGTGAGAGGGTTATCGGAAATAAATGTCTGGCCAAAAAAAAAATTTGGTCGCCGTGACCTTTCCCTAGTAATCTTAAGCTGCTTTCAGGCGAGCCACGACAAAGTATTGCAAGGTCTGCATAAACATTTGCATGTTTACATTACAAACGGTCAACCCGTTGTTCCGCATGAACGAACGCAGGCCCCTGGTCTGGCTACCACGCATATATCGTTTTTGTATAGTACATTTTACCCCCAGTTTAGTAAAGAATTTAAAAAAAAGATTGAGAACATAGTTCCACATGACTAGCCATGTGTCAATGAAAAAAACATTAAAATAAAATTGAGATCATGTTTCCACATGACTAGCGATGTATCAAGCTCTGTATAACATTTTTGAGTGCTATGGAAATACACTACATTGTGCGCTTTTAATACTTACTATCGTTACCCCATCCGATAATTTTTATTATAGTAAAGAATGTTTTTGAAAAGAATTTTCACCTTGTGGTTTCACCTCTTAACGTCATTTTGATAACCAAATGGGGTATAGAGAAAAACGCCGCACCCTTAATATACCTATACACTTAAGCCGCATGACGGGTAGACATTTATGTTAGCCTAAAGTTCTCACACTCCTATAATTGAATGTTATTACACTTCCACATTTTTCTTACCTGTAACTAACTTCTGGAAAGTACAGGCCCTGCACTAACGTACCAATAAAACTAATATTCCTACTCGGGCCCTACTTTTCTCTCTGTAAAGGGTGTGGCAATACCATCAATGACATCAGCAAGCAAGACAGAAAACCCATTCTACAATACTTAGGACTTTGAAGATAGAATAATGTCTTAACGTGATCGGGAGTCCCTTACTCGTGGACCCTGTTACATTTACTAGGGATTTACATTCTCGTGAATTGGCCCCATATTTGACAGAGACTGCACAAATGCTCAGTAATGTCGCCGAACAGGAAGTACCCACAAGACAGGGGTTCTGTTCGTTACAGTCCACAGAGACACTATAGGCAGGATAGTTTGTTGTTGGCCCCGTCCCACAAACACTATATACAGGGAAGGACGTTGTTGGCCGCGCCCCACAGATTCTATAGACAGGGAAGTATGTTGTTGGCCCCGCCCCACAGACACTATAGACACGGAAGTATGTTGTTGATTCTATCGTATAATATGACTTAGGCTACATTCGCGTATCCGGTTGAAACGGTTGAACCTGTAAAGAAAACGACAGGCACAGATCTGGACCGAGGCTGACCTCAAGTAAATTTGGCACATGTAGATTGAGGGGTCCAGACGTATTTGACCGAAACTAAAATGCTGACTATTGCTAGTTTTCGTTATTTCTTTTTGAAATAATGTCAAGCCACATGTAGTTTTTAAGATACATTATGTAATTCAGTGGACGCATGAAAGAAGGGCATACTATTCTCCAAAACTGTGCATTTTTAGCTCTGCTAATGGAACGGTCCAAGTGCGTTCGTGTATTTTGGAATATCTCTGCGCAACACGTACCGTTTCAACCGGGATACGTGAATTTAGCCTTAATCTTGCAACTTTTCGTAATTGTTAAATTGGCAATGCAATCAGGGATTATTCAAAGAAATTTAGCGGTTTATTTTATTGCTGCGAGCATATTTCAAAACATTTCAGAAAATCCTCAAACAAATTACGATAAATGGTCGCGAACAAGGACTGGTTTTGGATTGTTCTTGAGTATCGTGTACACCCCTTTCTTGACACTTTTGTGTGTGTAAAAGTGCGCACTATACGCAGCTTTAACGGTAGTCGTTGGTCAGACAAAAAATATCTAAATCAATCAATAGCAATTCATAATATAACAGTTTACCCCTTCGGGGCCCTCAAAGGTGCCTGATTCATACTCGAAACATATTTAAATTGTATGTAATTCCCGTGTGAAATTTGGAACGCCTTTAGGTTTAATGCTATTCCTGTTTAAAAAGGAAATCGATATCCGAGTTATTCAAGAACTTGTAATTAGCGCCTGGTATATTCCGACAGAAGCACACACTTTAACAGCCCAAGACAACAGAGGTCAAAATCTTAGACTGAAACCGAAATTTAAAGCCCCCACTGGGGTTCCCCCATGACTAGGGTGACTAAAAACAACTATAGATACATTGATATCCAATAAAATAGTGAGTAATCTTTTGCGACAACTGTTGTTCCTCCTCGGCTCTGTGACCATTTCGATGTCGCTAGCGTAATGATCTGGGTTGGTTGATTTGACTGGGGCTGTTACAGAGCAGGGCGGCTTTCGTTTATTCTGATCCAAACAGTTAAACCGGTTTGACAATTGTTGTTCGTTTATGAAATAATGCCGCACCAAGTAATCTGATGCTGCTTTCTGGCAAGCCTTGAAAGAAACCTTACAGGACCTGCATAAACATTTTCAGGTCTGCCAGGATTCATACCCGAAAATGTTACTTTTAAAAACAGGCAACCCGTTTGTTCCGCATATCTGACAACACAAACCGCACACCAGTCAGCGGCGCATGTCTGAGGCTAATTCATGTGCAAATGTTAGATTGGCCTGTAAACTCTCCAGGTCTATCACCCATAGAACATGTTTAGGATGTCCTTGGTAAACGAGTTTCATCTTGGTTACTTAAAAGAACCCGCTCAAATGTTGATACTTTACACCATTCCCGCTGACGTCTTTAGACGACCCACACGGTCTACGCTGTGGCGCATCAATACATTAATACAGTCCAACGGACGACACCCCCGCTTTTGACAAGTTAATGAAAGACACTCGGGTGTGGCAGATTAGTGTAATATGCAAAACCCAACCCGTAATACTCTTCTGCTCACGATATATCAAATATGTTATCTCAATTAAAAGCGAGTACACAACACAACATTCACAAAATTTCTATAAACTCAGTCAGGCCCAGTACACTCTGCCGATTGAGCTATATAACTATAAAGACCTATATAGCTTTATTCACCTATACATTATAGCTGAATTGAGCTATATTTTCTCAGATTTCAATTTTCATTAAATTAAAGCAAAGTCGAATAAAACAATAAGGTTTATGGTAATGTTGACTACAAAACGCATACAGTTAGATGTTTATTTTCATTTTTTATAAATGTAAAATTTCCGATTTTTTTACATCATTTTTTTTTTTTAAAAGAATACTTATATTAAATGTCTTTTGTTATCAACCTAATGATACAATCTTCTTTTAATAGCGACTTTGTTTCGTTTTCCTCAAACAAGAAAATCACATGAAAATAGCTCAAAAGACCTATTTCAGATAGGTCAATAGATCTAGAGCTATTCTAGGTCTTTACAGCTTATAGCTCAATCGGCAGAGTGTACTGGACCTGTCAATTAGAGTCCCTGTCACAATTTTCCATGTACAGACCTTAACTGTTATTTCCTGTACGCTGTTTAGTCAAAATTATTTGTTGTAGAGCTATATTTTTTAGACAGAACTGTTTAGACAGTTTAAGGCAGTTTAGACAATCTGAAAATATTCTCAAGTCACGTTACACCCGGCCATGTGGCAGACGAAATACATGTAGTAGCATAACAAATACAGTGACCGGTCCGAAAGCAAAAATACCAAACAATGTGGAACTCTTCTTTGTTGAGAGGGTGCTGCCACTCTAACTACCTTAACGAATCTGTCCAACAGAGTAGCGTGTCTTATCTAGCCGATAATGACCGGCGTGCTTGGGGTCAAGTAGAACTAAGCACATGGTTGGCGTATACTACACGTATGACTGGTCAAACCGGGAAAAAACGCCGCTTTGTTAACAGGTGGTTTCGTAGACGACAAGCGACAAGCGACTTAATTACTGAATCTTGAATGCTTGTTAATTAACCGGGCACTATCGGAGTGTTTTGTATTATGTATCAAATTCTAAACTCATGCTACTACACGAAAAGCATTTTGTCTTCAAAGATACACCATGTTTTGCCTTTAAAGTTACAATGTAGCCTTAAACGGAGTAATACAACTTCGATATGTGAATAGACTCCGTGACATTTAAGCGACTTGTCATTACCGATAAGTTTACATATTTATTTCAATGTCTATGGGAGTGTATATGTTTTGGGACGTAGGAATGTGTGAGGGAGCGGGGGAAAATCGCCCGGCAAGCTTACATACAAAATTTCCATTACCTTCGGTTAAACGGCATTCTCTACGATGTTTCATGTTAAAGGTAGAACGTCTTGAACTCGCACTATATATATCTGCTAATACTGTAAGCTGCTAAACATGATAACAAAAAAATAAAGTATCACAAATTAGCTGTACACTTACCTGTACGTTATATATATCCATAGTTTGGCGTAGATCCGCCGTCTGTCTGTAGTCAGATATAAACCATTTTAAACTCTGTATCACATGTTTTCTTGGTTTTTTTTTNTTTTTTTTTTTTTTTTTTTTTTTTTTTTTTTTTTTTTTTTAAATCTTTCTTAATTAAAAAAAATCTGGTAAAGAAAACAGTAAAATCCACAATAATCTGTTCGTCAGAAGTTAGACAGTGGTTACACAGGTATTACGGTATCCAGTGATATGGTCAGACTGCGTTACACCGTTAATGACAATTTCTCACAGCGACTGCCGTTCACATTGAGCTCCACATCTACTATAGTGTATGTAATCACAGTTATAGCCCATTTCATATAAGTTGACTCTACCTGTGTGACGTGTTTACGATCATACCTGGGCGGGGCTAGTAAGCCGTGTCATGCATATTCATTATATTATACATACAGTGACAAATCTTTGGCCGATTTGTACACTATGGGCACGGAATTATCTAAGTCCGTGCTATGGGACTGTGAATCCTTCTCAGGAGCGTCTTGCTTGTTGTGTTATTTGCTTATATCTTATATTCAATTCTTTTATTATCATAAGCAATACTGCTAATTGATATTACATAACATGTATTATGTACAATACAATGTCTTACAAAGTCCAGTTCAAGCCATACACTAAAGGGTATATTCACTCATTTCATAGACAAGAGAGGCATACTTTTTGTGTTTCTCTCTCTTTAAGCCAAGTAAACGTGTACTCATGTATGGTTATATGTTTGGAATCTGAATTGTCCCAATTTCATGACGCTGGACTAAGTCACCAGCGGTGGGGCTGACCCCTGGGGCGAACTTAGGTAGATTTTAGGGTTGATATCACTACCGTTTCTATGTTGAAGACATAGGCACAAAGTATCAAGGAAAGGACGGGAGTTATGTTTATACAAATACTACTATGTAATGCAAAATATTGTACAGTTCTCAGAACTAATGAATACAAACAATGTTAAAATCTTATAAAATTTATGCAAATTTATCAAAATTTTGCTTAAAAAAGCATTATGATTTTCCCTCCATATATATTACATTTGATATTGTATACTGTCGTAAATATGTTTTCTTTGTACATTTATGATCACAGCTATGGTCATGTCGAGATCACAACAACTTCCGTGCTTTGAACTAAAAACAAAGTCCCTCATGGGCAGGGCCTGACCCCATGGTAATTCCTGGTAGCACGACTGTGTTGTTTTTTCTTCATACCAGGCAGTATAAGGTTATAAGATTGGGTATATCAACAATTTCTAATTTATTACCCATTGTGAATAAAACAACGCCCTCCATGTAATCTACGTAAAATAAAGCAATGTCACGTCCTCAAAGCTTGAACAGATAAACAACCTATGACACATGACGACCTTTTACGAGCCATTAATGACACAGTTGATGTCTTTGATAACAAGTGCAGAACTGTGCTGGTCATTCTTAACATGTCGCTGCATTTAAAGTCATTGGTCATGGCATACTGTTCAAACTGTTGGAGTAACCTTATATGATGACTNCCCCCCCCGCCACATAACAAATTTCTAGATTTCAGGGTTTCCTGAAGCTATCGGTGTTAGGACCCATGAAAACACATTGCGCTCGTAACCTGATAGGTGTCGTTGTCCTCTCTGTCGTTATTACACTGATGGCGTATAAATATGCAGGGCTAACAAACCACAGGACTGCCTGAACACCATACCAAAAAGCCCCGTAGCTTCAGTACATGGGTCAACATTAACATGCTAACGGAAATTTAAAAAAAAACCAGAAGTAATTGGCATTTTTTTATGATATGAAATAATTAATAATAATTCGAGGTTCTTATATACAGCTTTATCACAACCTAGTTCGTAGGTCGTTTCAAAGCGGTTTACAAATTATTATCCGTTATCATAGAACCTTTGCAACCAGCTAATATCTTTCTCAACTCCATAGGGAGCATACAGCCGGTGCTGCCATTTCGACGCTCACAGCTAGCATTCAACATTCTAGCACTGCCCAACCACGTACTCATTTACAGCTGAGTAGACTGGAACAAGCGGAGTAAAGTATCTTGCTCAAAGATTTAACACAGTGCCGTGACGTGACTCAAACCCGCAACCCTTCGGTCACGAGCCCGGCGTTCTACCACTAGACTACCTTGCCTCCTTTTCCCAAAACTGTCAGCAAATACGATTTCTTTGGATCGGGTGTTGAATAGCAGATATCACTTGTAATCAAAGAGAAAAGACACAGATAAGATAACTTGCTAAATCCGGCTGTTTGACAGACATGACATGTAGATCCGGGTACTTACTTACAATTTATCAGATATCAACAATGGTTTATTCGGCTGTATGCCAGACATGACATGTAGATCCGTGTACTTACCATTTATCAGAGATCAACAATGGTTTATCCGGTTGTATAACAGACATTACATGAAGATCCGGGTACTTACCAAAGGTCAGATAACAACAATGGTTTTTCCGATTGTATAACAGAAGCTGCACTTAACGGAGTAATGACTGACACGTAGATAGTAAATGTCAATGCAAAATACGTGTACAACCAAAATCACATGAACTATACACCTGTGTATCTTTACAAATGTATGCAAGAATCAGTGCATTCACTTAAAACCTCGTTATTCTATTCAATTATTTGTCCAGAGAAATTTCGGCTTTATTAAAGGGTTTGGCGTTTAATTTAGGTGTAAAGTAGTTCTAAAAAAAGACTAGAAAAAGAGACATTAAACTATGTTTGCGGTAAACGTGGCCGCAAAGGAAACGAGACTTCAAGGTTTACTTGCATAAGAACAAACAAGAAACATCATATCGAGGTTTACTGTATATAAACGAGATACATGATATCGAAGTTTACTGTATATAAACGAGGGGCATTAAATCGAGGTTTACTGTATATGAACGAGAGACATTATATCGAGGTTTACTGTATATAAACGAGAGACATTATTTTGAGGTTTACTGTTTATAAACCAGAAACAATAAATCGAGGTTTTACTGTATATAAACGAGACATTATATCGAGGTGTACTGTATATAAACGAAAGACATGATATCGAGGTTTACTGTATACAGGCGAGGTACATTATATCGAGGTTTACTGTATATGAACGAGAGACATAATATCAAGGTTTACCGTATATAAACGAGAGACATAATATCGAGGTCTACTGTATATAAACGAGAGACATAATATCAAGGTTTTATTATAAATAAACGAAAGACATAATATCGAGGTTTACTGTATATAAACGAGAGACAGTATATCAAGGTTTACTGTATATAAACGAGAGACATATCGAGGTTTTACTTTTTATAAACGAGAGACATAATATCGAGGTTTACTGTATATAAACGGGAGACATAATATCATGATTTATTGTATATAACCGTGGGGCCTAATATCGAGGTTTACTGTATATAAACAAGTGACATGACATCGAGGTTTACTGTATATAAACGAGAGACATTATATCGAGGTTTGCTGTATATAAACAAGAGACATTACATCGAGGTTTACTGTATATAAACGAGAGACATTATATCGAGGTTTACTGTATATAAACGAGAGACATATCGAGGTGTACTGTATATAAACAAGTGACATTACATCGAGGTTTACTGTATATAAACGAGAGACATTATATCGAGGTTTACTGTATATAAATGAGAGACATTATATCGAGGTTGGGGGTATATAAACGAGAGACATATCTAGGTGTACTGTATATAAACAAGTGACATGACATCGAGGTTTACTGTATATAAGCGAGAGACATATCGAGGTTTTACTTTTTATAAACGAAAGACATAATATCAAGGTTTACTGTATATCAACGAGAGACATAATATCGGGGTTTACTGTATATAAACGAAGGACATTATATCAAGGTTTACTGTATATCAACGAGAGACATAATATCCCGGTTTACTGTATATAAACAAGTGGCATGACATCGAGGCATACTGTATATAAACGAGAGACATACTATCGTAAACGAGAGACATTATTTTGAGTTTACTGTATATACACGAGAGACATTATATCGAGGTATACTGTATATTAACGAGAGACATTATATCGAGGTATACTGTATATTAACGAGAGACATAATATCGGGGTTTACTGTATATAAACAAGTGGCATGACATCGAGGCATACTGTATATAAACGAGAGACAGTATATCAAGGTTTACTGTAAATAAACGAGGGACATTATATCGAGGGTTACTGTATATAAACGAGAGACAGTATATCAAGGTTTACTGTAAATAAACGAGGGACATTATATCGAGGGTTACTGTATATAAACAAGAGACACTATATCGAGGTGTACTGTATATAAACAAGTGACATGACATCGAGGTTTACTGTATATACACGAGAGACATTATATCGAGGGTTACTGTATATAAACGAGGGACTTTATATCGAGGTTTACTGTATATAAGCGAGAGACATATCGAGGTTTTACTTTTTATAAACGAAAGACATAATATCGAGGTTTACTTTATATAAACGAGGGACATTATATCGAGGGTTACAGTATATAAACAAGAGACATTACATCGAGGTTTTCTGCATATAAACGAGAGACGTTATATCGAGGTTTACTGGATATAAACGAGAGACATTATAACGAGGTTTGCTGTATATAAACAAGAGACGTTACATCGAGGTTTACTGTATATAAGCAAGAGACATTATATCGAGGTGTACTTTATATAAACGAGAGACATAATATCGATGCTTACTGTATATAACCGTGGGGCATTATATCGAAGTTTACTGTATATAAACGAGATACATAACATCGAGGTTTACTATATATAAACGAGAGACATTATATCGAGGTTTACTGTATATAAACGAGAGACATATCGAGGTTTTACTTTTTATAAACGAAAGACATAATATCAAGGTTTACTGTATACAGGCGAGATACATTATATCGAGGTGTACTGTATATAAACGAAAGACACTATATCGAGGTTTGTTGTATATAAACGAGAGACATACTATCGAGGTTTGCTGTATATAAACGAGAGACATTATTTTGAGTTTACTGTATATACACGAGAAACATTAAATCGAGGTTTTACTGTATATAAACGAGAGAAATAATATCGAGGTTTACTGTATATAGACGAGAGACACCATATATAAAGGTTTGCTGTATATAAACAAGAGACATAATATCAAGTTTTGCTGTATATAAACGAGAGACATTATATCAAGGTTTACTGTATATAAACGAGAGACATTATATCGAGGTTTGTTGTATATAAACGAGAGACATTATATC